TCAGGGTGAATGTGTAATTAATACCTTCAGCAGCCCTTGTGCTGGCAGAGCTGGTTTCAGAAAGCAAATTGAGCATGCAGAGCTCCAGCTTAATCTACTGTTTGACTTCAAGATATCCAAGTATGTTTTAGTTATTTTTTTATCGTTTCTTCAGCTTCTCTAAAGTCAGATGTAGACGTGATTTGTTAAAGGACATCAGCGCCTCTTTAGCTGAACTGCTTTGATTAGTTTTGCTCATTTTGTAATTTCAACTGAAATTTCCTGGTAGGTTTTCCAGTGAGTGGCAATTTTGTCAAAAATTAGATTTTTAAAGACTTAGCTTGGTCTTTAACTCAAATTAGAATTACTGGTGTAGTTTCAAGGGTAATGGGAAATAGAAGGAAGGTCTTGTTTTCTATCACGTTCCCTTTCATTATAGCTGAAAATACAATAATTGAAGACTGCTGTTGTTTTTTTCAAGGTAACACAGCTATTGTCTATTTTTATCCATTCATCCTTTGTATCCTGTCAATCCATTCTTTGATAGGGAAAAGTTTCTCATCAAAGAAACCTAGTGATGTTGTCTGCCTTGCTAAGTACTATTCCTGCAACTTGCGTGTCTTGTCCCAGTTCCCAGGATTACTGCTATCACTTCGGTAATTGCTCTCTCGATATGGGAAGTAGAACTGGGTTAAAGAACAAAGCTGCACCGTGTTGTTGCTCTTCGAAGTCAATTAAGTGACTAAAGGCACTCCCAAGTCGTGAAGCGTGGTGCAAACCCAGGCGTTACCTGCCTATAGCTAACAGAAACGTAGAGATCTGGTTAGCCCATACAGGTTTGACAGATTTCTGCTAGAAAAGATGCAGCTTTTCTTTAGATGTATCTTATGAGTGAGATGAGCCTTGCAAGCTGAGTGCCATTCATTGACAGAAAAACTTAGGTGCTTTTGCACCTGATGTCATACAGCCATAAATATGTGAAACTATTATGCTTGAGATGCCAATTTTAGTTGCTACCAGGTATCTAAGGATCTTGATTGAAGCTGTGATTTATGAAGTTTTAGAATACCTACAAAATTTTTACCTTTGAGGATCATTCGTGGTGGTTTTAATTTTGGAAGCTTTTTGTAATCTTTAAAGGAAATGAGCTTTATGTAGTTAGGCTTGTCAGTACCTCTTTCTCCCCAAGTAACTTTTGAACCTGTTTGTCATCTTCATCTGCATCTCAGAAGTCCCAAAGACTTGCGGTATTGTGGAGTAGAAAGACGTAAAGCTTGAAGTAACTACAGAACTAGGCAAGGAATATGGGATGCAAAACTTCAGGAAGCAAACTTTTTAAAATTCTACAGCTTGTAGGGCAATTAGTAAATTTTACTGCCACTGCTGGTTTCACCAGTAATGAAAATAAAGACAGAGGCTTTCTTCAGTGTAACTTGATTCAGTTGGGTTATAAGAACTATAAGGCAATGGAAAGCATCTAGGCTTAGACCCATTGTTGTCTTCGCTGTTGCTGCCATTCCCAGTAGGGGATGGAGAGTGCTTATTGCAGGCTGACTAATTAAGGAATGACAGCTGGTTGGAAATATCATTCTACTTTTGCAAGAGCTGTGAGCAACTTCACAAGAATTTCTGGAAAAAATGAACTTATCAACAGGATCAATTGACAGTATTTAGAAGCTATGCTTCCACTGTGAGAAGCTTCTAGGCTCTTGTCGTGGGGGTAAAAAAATCAAGCCTGTTCTTTCAGTCTGCAAGTGCAGGTTGGTCGTGTTGCAGGGGCTCATGGCCTTGCTGGGGCAACTGGAGAGCTCATCGCTTGCATCAGGTCTTGATGCTGTTCACCTCCAGAGAAATGGAGTGGAGTCCATGTTAAATCCACTTTAAAGCTACTTGGGAAGACTGTGGAGGCAGCCAGCATGATAGCTTTCTGTAGAAGGTGAGTGGGGTAAACGGCAAGGTACAGGTAGAAGGAACAACATGATGAAGGGAAGAGTTGAGCTTGTAGATGTCTATCTTCCTTCTTACACAAGAGCTGGAGGCCTTCCTGAGCAAGGACTAGTGACACCAGCTGTTAGGAATTTTGAAATTCTTCTTATGCCAAGTACTGTGGATTTACAGGACAGATTAGAGTTGTATAATTGCTTCTTCCAGGCAACAGAGCTGGACCCACCCGGTCATCTTTTAGTCTTTAGTTAATAGGCTAAGTGATTTGGAGACATGTTAGAGTCTGTGTACAATGTGTAAAAGCTGTTGAGTTAGGATGTATGTGATCTGGGGATTAACTCCAAAAATGGAGTGTTTAAGACAGAAGTAGAGAGAATTTATTAGGAAGACAAAATACAGTAGGGAAAACAAACTGTATATTTGGGAGTAGAAAGAACCTTTGAGCTCTGAAATACAGTAAGAAAATGTGGAGTGAGTTTAGGGTGGGAAAAGAGAGGAAAAGCAATGAACTCTGTAGTAGATAGCATTGAATTAACACAGCTACCTACTTCCTAATTAAATACATAAATACAGTGTTAAATTTCCAGCCTAAAAATGCATCCATGTAGTCTGCACTCACATTCATGACACTGATGTTGAGAGGTCATGGAGATACCTCTCAGCAGCAGTACTTGCCTGTGCCACGTTGCCCATTTGTGGATCTAAGACACTGTCCTCTTAACCAAGTCTGTGCTCTGATGCTCCGAAGGAAGAGGGACAATTGGAGAGGGGCAGGAGAAATGCAGTCGTCCTACTTCTCCCTTGTATCAGTGGACATGCCAAGGAGGTAGCATCTCCTTGAAGTGTGCTTCCCAGTTTTCTTTACGTAGGGAGCAGCAGAGGGGCAGTAGAATTAAGTAGGTGCACACCAAAGACAAAAACTTGCTCTGCAACCAATAGCCTAGTGTGGAAGTCTGATCATTTTGATGAAGTTTGTGTTCTTGCACACTTTGTGTTACAGTGCTGCTCTGCCATAGCTTTATTATATGTTCCTAGAATGAGAAGATGTAATGTTTAGGACACAGTTCTTAGCCTGCATCCCAGGGAGTTAGTGATGATCTCTGTTTCCCAATAAAGGAGCAGAAGAAAGCAATGGCAGAGTCTCGCTGTGATCTACTGAAGGAAGGTTAGGTTGGGGCTGAACTGATGTAATGTGAGATTTCTGCTGAATATGCTGACCCAAGCCATCCATGTTTGATGTTCTCACTGAGAGTTCCTATTCCTTGCTCTTAGCTCAAAGGATCAGTGCATGTATTTATCCTTCAGCTGCCAAAGGGGATGAGATGTTCCTTACTCGTTTAGTAATTTGAAACACTAATAACAACATATGATCACTGTGATGAGTATTTCTACACACTCAAATTTAAAATAAAATTAAAAAAACCCCAAACCCAACCCTGTGTAATCCTCTGGAGGAACGTTTGCTGGTGTGGGCCAGTTGGGTACCAGTCAGTCTGCGGCTGATTTGTGCTCCCCCTTGTGGCACCGTGCGGTGGGAGAGCATCGTTTGCACATCATTTGCACGTCAGTGATAGTGCTGGTTATGAACAGTGTGTAGTTCTGAACAACTGGAATGACCATCAAGAGACTGTGATTTTGAAAATGTGGAAAGGGCAGTTTACTTTTCCAGTGTTACTGTTCTATGTGTGTCCAGAAACACGGAAACATATGTATCTGTGGAGTAACACAAAACCTTTACTGCCTTTGTCCATTTTTTGTTTCCTCGCTAGCCATCTCCTGGGCTTGTATTTGTCATTGCTACGTGCATCATAACCAGATAGACTTGAGTTTTCCCGTCACCCAGTGGACATAGTTTTCATACTGTAACCTTTCATTTGTGTGTTGGTAATACTGTTAATTTTTCAAGTTTTCTGGTTTTGTTGCAGCACATCCTTTACATAAAGAAAGAGGAGATGAAGCAGAGAATGCTTTTGAGGTGGAATTGTGTTTTGATTGGGGGTTGGATGTAGTTGTTAAGGGGTTAATCCATAATCTGCGGTGCCAAGAGTAAGGGAATTGTGTGACTTATTCCATCATGTGTTTTCCTTGAATGCCTTGTTCCTCTTTCTGCTGAGGTAGCTGAGGGGGGAAGAAGGCTGGAATAAATACAGAGAATGGTTTAAGGCATTCAGTTTTCCATAATAGCCCCCTGCCAGTTAGCCTGTGTCTCCTGGGCATGAGTAATGGGGAGGACAGGGTTGGTGGGGAGCAGCATGAGCAGTAACTGCCTAGGCGTGAGCTACCAGTGAGTAGGTAGGACTAGGTGGTAATTGTGGTATGGACAGCAAAAGGGAGCAGATAATTAAAAAAGAAAAGGAAAGAAATGAGGGAAAGACTTTGAAAAACTGCAGTAGGCTCTACAAAGAAACATTTGCAGCTGAATGTTTATAGAAATTCTTACATCTGGTTCTCCAACAAAAGGGAAGAAAACGGTAGGGAGGAGCAGTTGTGATGTGGGGAGAGCACTGTAATTAAGTCAGGGTGAAGAACGATAGTGACTGCCAGGGGTTGTAGGACACAGACTGTGGCAGTGAATCGGAGCCGTTCTGCAGAGAACGGTCCTCCTTCTTGTGGTAAAAAAAAATTCATATTCTATTGCATGTAAGTAGAGTATAGTGGGCTGGGGTTTTTTTCAACTATTTTTTTTTCAACTAGACATATGCAATTTAACTTTGGCAGAAAGTGCTAGTTGATTACTTTGACAGGTTTAATTACTTTGGCTTGAGTAGGATGAAAGTGAATTTATTTCCCAGTGAGAAAAGCGTTGAAAGGCTGCATGAAAACCTGTCAAAGGAAATTGAAGAGGGGTTGGGGAGTTATCTTTACAGTAAATGGAATTGATAAACATGTCAGTTAAGAGCGGAGTTTATTTGTAATACTCAGGTTTTGTAGCCAGAAATCTTTGATAATTCCGTTCACTGGGAAAATGAATTTTATCTGTTCAAGTGATTTGCTTTTTCGTAATGCTTGTAGAGCAAGGATTTGCCATAGAATGAAAAATTGAAGTCATAATTCTTTTTTTTTTTTCCTAGAACACGTCAGTAATGGAGGATCAGAATGAAGATGAGTCTCCAAAGAAAAATACCCTATGGCAGGTAGGACTAACACTTGCATGGAAGAAGAATTGGCATGTTTTTACGTCTCTGCTTTTGAGAAACTTCTAAATCTTGTGTCTGCATAATCATCCTTGCACGTAGTTGACTGTATGATCCTAAAATTAAATCAGCCTTCAAGTGAAGGATGACACTGATGAATAATGCTCAAGAAATTACTGGATCTGCTCCGATTTTGTCATTTGTGCTGACCTTGAAAGGACAATTCTGTGTCAAAGGATACTTGGGAAAACATTTCAACTGTTTTGAGCACGCGACTGTCATTTGAAAGGAAAAACTCAACGACCTCACATGGCAAAGAGTTGCAACCAATTTGCTTTGAAGAAGTTTGAGAACATTTCAGAGAGCTGACAGTTGTTCCCCAGGAGCCTTCTTGGTCTCCTGAAGGGCTCAGAAGAGCCTGGCATCTATCTTTGGTTCGATTTCCTAATTAGCAGCGAGTCCTGGGGTGGTGTTCTTGTTGCATCCTTATTTGTAGCTAAAGCTCACGGGATTTTAAGGATGTTTTTATGTGGATGGTCCCAAACATTGACATGAGCTGTTTTTCAAAAACAAAACAAGCCCTTGATGTCATGTAATTCTTAGTTTTCACTTATGGACAAGCAGCTCAACACTGACATGAGAGTCTTGAATTTTTGTGTTAATTAAAGTATTAATACCCAACTTTGGTATGGCTCTAAATGCATGTTATTTTAATTGCTGGAACCTGTGCAAATCATTTGTGGAGGCAGGCTGCAATATGCAGCAGAAACTACTGGTTTAATCTGGAAAAGTTTGTCCTAAGAAGAATTAAGTTGCTTGCTGTTTAAGTGGTAAGAAGTGTAAGGGAATTGGAGTTTTTCAGTGTAAGAAGTAAGTTATAATTATGAGCAAGGTCGTGTTTCATTCATCTTTGTCTAGGAAAGACAAAACTTGTATGGTGTAGCTGATAGTTTTAAGAGTGTATTTTAAAATTGAATTCTGTTTTTTCTTTGCATCTTGTCACATTTTCTTGCTCAAGAGTTCTTTTAAAGCTGCTCCTATTGTTTATATTTAGATACTGATATTCCTTTTCCAAAAACAGATAAGTAATGGAACTTCATCTGTGATTGTCTCAAGAAAAAGACCATCGGAAGGAAACTACGAAAAGGAAAAAGACTTGTGTATTAAATATTTTGACCAGTGGTCTGAATCAGATCAAGTTGAATTTGTGGAACACCTTATTTCACGAATGTGTCACTATCAGCATGGACATATTAACTCTTACTTGAAGCCCATGTTACAACGGGACTTCATCACTGCGTTACCAGGTAAGTTAATACTTATTCTACAAGAGGTGCATTCACAAATATTTTTTTTAATACTTGGTGTGGATGCAAACTTTCCAGAACATCCTCTAGATTTTGATTGTCTCGTATAAATACAGTGATGCTTCCTAGTCAAAAGAAGTGCAGGGAGGGTAGCTGAAGTCCTTCACTTCTGTGATTAATTGAATTGGCCACTGGATGCCAGTGTTGTTCCATGTAAAAGTAGTTGTGAACAGCATATCCTGAAGAACTTAAATTAGAACTGAGTCGTTGTAAAAGTTGTATCTCTGCAAGCTCTGGTCTAAATTCCTTTTTCATACAAACCCCATAGGTGTAGAAAATACTATAGAGTTCATTTGTGAAGTATTTGTTACATTTTAGTTTTGTTCTAAGTTTCTTGAATCTTCAGTAAAATTTAGATGAGTCAGTCTAGCTTGTCTGGTCTTGTTGCTGACTCAGGAGCAAAAGTCCTTGTGGATTTTTATCGTATAGTCCAGCCATGCTTCCGTTCTTCAGTTGCTCAGAACCTCTTCTGCCACTAATCAGCGTAAACCTGTATCAATAATTAGAATACGAAATCTGTTCTTAAACTTGCTATATGCATTTCTTAAAAAAAAAAAAAAAGGCAGTAATAACTAGGTATGTAAAATCTTTAGCTTTCAATCTCCTGGTAAGTTGAATATATTTTTCCATTAATTTCTGGAAGGATTTTTGCTGCTGAAGAGAATGGTTCATTTGATTCTTTGGAAGGTAAATGTGTGGACATTGTTTCCAGAGTGAGAAATAAGCATGAAATAAATGGTCAAAATGTTCTCTTTGCCACTGGCACTGCAATAGCACAGATCCACACCTGCAGTGAGCAGTCTGGATGTTACCCCAAGACGTGACAGGGAGGGCTGAGGGCAGATGAGGAGGTGATACAAATCGTAAAGGAAATTGGAAACTAGTAATTTTCTGAGCAGAAGGACCACTGAAGTGAAGTTCCTTTAAAGGTTGGTCATGTTACAAGCCCTGAAACTTCTGTAGGCATTGGTGTGCTTAGGTGGTCTGGTGCGCATGGGCTTTCCTGGTGTCTGGGACAGAACGCTGCTTGCATGTTATAGGTTTCTGTTCTCTGTAGTGCTGCTGTATTTTCACAAAACCTGGAGGAATTCAACTTTTGGAGGTCATCAAGGGGATTTTGGCTCATCTGTCAAGCATGGTTGAAATTAACTTCTTAGTAGTTGGAGGGGAACGAAGAGCGTGGAGTAGGGCACAGGACGTGATACGGATTCTCAGATGTGCTCTATTTTCTTAAAAAACAGTCTTAAGAACGTGAGAGGGCTGTGAAAGGCAGGGAGTGTCCTTTTCCCACACACCTCAGTTCCACGGAAGTTATTTTATAGAAGACATAGCTTGTCTGGCCACACACATCAAAATGTGCTCCTCGTTTTGACTGGAGGGCTGTCTCCTTTAGGTACTGTGGCTGTTTCTTCCAGCTGGTTTTCGAAATACTGTATTTTGATTTCTCTAGAGAGTATCTGGGATTAAGTAAAAAATAAAGTGAAATAGACAGTCATGGTCATCATGCACGAGTATGAGCTTTGAGTATAATTTTATTTTGCTTTTATTTTATACCTCAGGGCTGATGCCATGGAGCTATATAGTTCTTTCATATTACGTGTTTATTCCTAAGAAATTTCTGGGAGCTGCATAAGCTGATGCTTATTTACAGCTCATTTGTATGTACAAATATATATTTATATTTACGACTTCTGTTGCTTTTGAGGATGAAAATACTGGGAACTGTTCCCGTACTCAGCCTTTCTTAAAGGTGATGTGTTTGAAGAACGTCTGTATAAATTTACCCAAGAAGTTAATCTGAGTTGCTTGAAATGAATCCCATGTTGGACTAACATTGCATTAAAAGAGAATAGTAAAGTACTGCCTTTTAAGAGAGAGTTTCACTTGCCTTAAAGAAGTAAACTTCCTTTGTTTTAAATGGAAATAGTTTTTGCTTGCTACTATCCCTACTGATCTTACACCTGCAAGAGTGCAGGAGAACTGGAAAAAGTTTGTTGTATCTGGCTTCCCTTCACTTCAGTGGGAAAAGGAGTGATAATTCTGGTGTGCTTTTCTGTAAGTGGTGGCGGAATGTTTAGTCTGCAGCTCCTGTTCTTACAAGCTGGGCTGTGGGTGAGCTCTTTCCTTTACTACAAATCATCCTCGTGGCGTACGACTGGTTGTATCAGCTGTAGCTGTGTGGCCTGTAGTTGTATCAGCTATTGCAAGTCCCATGGATCAGGTGGCTCAGAAGCCTGTACTCCATGTGTTTCCACATCTGCCAACAGTCTTTCCTGTAGCATATCAAAAACAACTCTCAAAAGACAGCAGTCTATAAGGGACTGCATGATTGCAAGAATAACTTATGTTACCTTTGTGCTTTTGATTCTCTTCTTTAAGATGTTAATCTTAATATTCCTTGCATGGTCTCATCCAACTTGTGCCCTTTCCTTAAGCAAATTACAACTTTGACCCTTGAGCACTACCTTGTTACGCTTGATTAGGAAAGAAGGTCCCTTCCAGGTCTGTTTTGTGTGTTAAAATGTAAGGGAACTGTACTCTGTGTCAGGCAAGGAAAACCCTGCCAGGCTTCTTTTGAAATTGGTTTCTAAAATAACAAAAGCCTGTGTAGTTGCATGATCTAAGTGACTGTTTCGTATCTAATGTTAGTCAGCTTTATAGAGTTGACATCCCACATTTGGGTTTCATTTTCATACAAAGTGATATTTACACATTGAGCTTTGAAATCCCTGTGGATTTTAATTGTTTTTAATTTATTATTGAAATTCAACCAAACCTTCATCTGGTACCTATAATCAACAACAGCTGTAATTTTTCACCATCTTCTATAAAATTGCAAAAGCTTTTGTAGAGGCATAAGAGTTGAGAGTAATGTTTTGCTTTGAAAAGTGTACCAATAAATGCTAGATGCATTTTACTAAATAAAATTGATAGGTTTTAGTACCTATTTCAGAAACCATGTATAAAACTAAGTGTTCCCTGTCTTTTAATGTAAAATAGGTATATGCAGCTATTTCAGGCCTTAATGTGTCTTAAGCTTAGTCCTGCATGTTGTCTGAAGTCATTAGAGCGGGCCTATCTAAGTATCTGTGCTTTGGACCTGGTCCTACTGTGTTAATTAGGGTAAATATTTTACTTGATGTTTATTTTTAATGTGAACAATTTAAATCTGTGCACTTTTGCAAGCAGAAAGAATCTTAAGAACAGACTGCAAAGCAAAGCATTTGTGTAGTTGGGCTCAGTATGCAGCTTCCAAGGCTCTGTGTATTCCTGGAAGAGGAGATGGCTGTATTTTAATGTCAGAAAACATTTGAGTTTCTGACTTGTTAAAAATCTGTTCGTAACTGTGACCGGTGTTGTACAGAATTGTGAAAATTGTGCATCTGAATAAAGGGTTTCTGCCTAGTAATTCACAATCCATCCTTAAAATGCAGTGAAACACTGGCTTCGGAATGAAAAGGCTGGAAGTGCCACGCGTACGTCTGTGTTATCGCTGTCGGGAGGTGGGGTAGCTGATTGCCCTTAGCTTTTATGGAAAACCTGGGGCTAGTTAGATTAAACATTAATGAGCATTTGTGACTAGGGTTACACCACAAGTAAGAGTCGGAAGAAGCATTGGGGTAGTGAAGTGAGTAAAAAAACCACAAGCTGAGCACTTGTCACTTGGTTTTCGTCTCTCCAAACGCTTGGTCTGATAGTTGTGTAAAACATCCTCCTGCGGATAGCAGTCAAGTCTGCATCTTCTCGAGAATCATAGAATCATCTGGCTGGAAGAGACCCTCAAGATTGAGTCCAACCATTCGCCCCGCACTGTCAGGGTCTCTAAACCATGTTGCTCAACACTAAATCCACACGGTTTTTAAACACCTCCAGGGATGGGGACTCCACCACCTCCCTGGGCAGCCAGTTCCAATACTTCACAAACCTTTTTGTGAAGACGTTTTTCCTGATATCTAACCTAAATTTCCCCTGGTGCAACTTGAGGCCATTCCCTCTTGTCCTGTCATTCATAATGTGGGAGAAGAGACCGACCCCCATCTCCCTACAACTTCCTTTCAGGCAATTGTAGAGAGTGATAAGGTCACCCCTGAGACTCTTCTTCTCCAGGCTGACCAGTCCCAGCTCCCTCAGCCGCTCCTCACAGGACAAGTTCTCTAAACCTTTCACTAGTTTCGTTACTCTTCTCTGAATCCACTCCAGCATCTCAATGTTGTTCTTGAAGTGAGGGGCCCAAAACCGGACACAGTACTCAAGGTGTGGTTTTGTTTGTAGAAAACAAAAGTCACCTTAGGAAGGAAGATCTTCCTTGGACTTTGAGTTTATTGGGGCAGTTCGTCTCTGTGAGGACCTTGTTCCAGCCCTGTCTCTAAATACTTGGTGTGTATGTTACGGTGAAATGATGTTTTTTGGAATGAGAGCCCCGAGTCAGCCTGATCCTGCTGAGCTGTGCACATGGCACAGAGAGGCACCCAGCGCAGTGTCACAGCCGGTCCCGTTTGCCTCTGTCGCACGGCTCCCCGAAATGGCGGAGAGGGTTTGGTTCGGCGTGCCGGAGCGAGCTCTCCGGGGGCATGGTGAGTTTTTTTCTCTCGTTGAGGAAATGGTGTTCATGAGTCCTGGTGCCTCAGCAGGGGTTTGTCAGCTCTTCATCTCTGCTTCAAATCGGCATGTCGACAGCCAGGAGCAGCAGCGTTGATCTGGCCAAGAAAGGCTTAGCTTTTGGGTGAATTGGTGGTGGTACCTTGGTCATTCAGGTTGCGTTTCCAGGCTTGAAGCGTGAGAGGTGGCTTTGGATCCAGATTTTCACGACTGTTTTTCAGAGCATTGTTATTGCTCTTTCAAATGCAGTTGTGTGAAAGACTGTATGATTGCAAAATGTTCCTGCTTTGTCATGTATCATTTTTCTTAATCAGTTCTGTCCAACCGCGTTTAATCTGGAG